TACTATATGATTTCAAAAATATTTCTATAAATTTTCATAATATTTAAATAGTTATTAAAAAAATTATATTAAAAAAAACCAATTCCAAAAATTTATGACTCACACTGTATATATTTATTTATATTTATATTATTTTTGAGATTTTTGAAAAATTAGAAATATTTAATAAAATTCAAAACATAAAGCTTCAAATAAAAATTTGATAAATAAAAAATTAACACTTTTGATAAGTATAACAAAAATTTATATAAATTTATTAAAATATTAAAAAAAAAAAAATTGTTTTTTGTTTTTAGCATGAATTCAGTGGGCTCGAATATAAGTAAAAAAGAGTTTAGTTTGTATGTACAGTACTTTATTTACTTTATTAGGGAGGCGATACAAATGATCTACTATTTATAATTCACTGCGTATTACACAATAATGACTGATGATATCCGTTCATTGAATGAACGGATCTAATAAAACTACACAAGGCGATTTCAAAAGGATTGAATTACATTCCCGACTTTTCAATGAAAATGGAAGACGCTTCGTATGGATATAAAATTTTAACCAGACCTCACACAACACCAAATAATTCTGCTAGTCAGGAGTATAAAGTGGTAGATCAAAAAACTTTTGAAGACGAGCTCCAAGCATATGAAGAATCAAAAATTCGCGAGGAAAATTCAGAAGAATGGATTTATGATTCGGAAAGTGGATATTATTATAACAAATCAGCAAAAATATATGCTCTTTGGAATGCTGAAACTCAAGAATGGATGTACACAGATAATAACTATGTTAGTGATTCTAAACAGGATAAAACTGAGGAAGTGTTGTTAAATAAAGAAACAGGGCAGGAAGAAAACTCAGATAATGCACGCGAAGAAGGTCAACTTTCAGATTCTGAAGCATGTGGGACAGCTTTTATAACGTCAAATGGAAAAAACGTGAATAGTCGGGATCAAAAATCCGAAGATACAGATGGCTTTGAACTAAATCATATTTTTACTCCGCCAGCAGGTTATTTACCAACTTCAGAAGCACAGTACTATTTCAATCCAGAAAGTAATATTTGGTTTGATACGCATACTGGGGTGTATTCAATATATGATGAATCTACTCAGACATACACTCCTGTTGAATCATCTTATACATCATCATCTGCCAATATTGAAGACACTGCAGTAGATCATGGTGAACCTGGTAGCGACGCAACGTTGAGGTTGGTAGTTTTAGAATCTGAGATTCTACAATTGGGTCATTTAGTTCTAGTAGATGCAAATGGGATATCTATGGGAAGAGATAGATGGGATGATCGCCGACTTCGTTTAGCCGAAATGCCTACGTCCAAACATCATTGCCAGATATTTTGTTCCTCTTCTGCGGCTTCTGATAATAAATCTGGTGAAGAAGAAGACTTAAAAAATTTTACAAACTCTTTAGACACCTTTTTCATTGTTGATAATGGATCACAGAATGGCACATTTGTTAACTCGAAAAGATTATCCGAAAGTAAGATGAGCTCTAAACCTCATCAATTGAATCATATGGATGAATTAATAGTAGGAAGCACCAAGTTTCAAGTACACTTACACAAAAAGTGGACATGCGATGCATGTACCGTGACCGAGGGAAAGATGATTGACATTTCACAAAAATTTGACGGTAACGCTAATCATAATAAGACAAAATCGAGAAGTGGAGAAGGAGATATAAGCGTAAATATTAATAGCAATAATAATACTGCCACACAAAAAGAACTTTTAGAATTTCAACGACGAGAAGAACTTAGTCGATTGAAACGTAAATATATGGGACCGTCAAGTTCTAATCAAAAACAAGTAAAATATGTTGATAGAGCGGCTATAAGAAGAGGCATTTACCCAGATAATAACCCGATTAGAAAGGATTGGGAAGGTGATTTCACGATATCCCATGAAAGGGAAATAGATGTTCAGACTAAAATTGGATCTGATAATAAAGGAAATAAACTTCTTCAAAAGATGGGTTGGAAGGAGGGGCAAGGGTTGGGGCTTAATGGTACGGGAATTCTAGATCCAGTACAACTCGTGACGAATAATGGGACGACAGGGCTTGGTGCTAGTCTTGGAAAAAATACTAAAAATGCTTCTGAAACATTGCAGGAAGCAACTCGGCGGTATGAGATTCTGCCAATTGATAGTTTCTAATTATATCATTTTGTATAAATTGTTTCTAATTATTATTTTAATGTAATTTTAGCATTGCAAAGGAGAGATTTATTGACCTGTTTCAATGAAATCCGAGAATGCGAGATGATTAATCGGTGTTCTAAAACTATTTTAAATATTTGCCTTTTGTAAATCATCCAATAATGAATTTTAATTTGTAAGTATTTGGACAACCATTATATAATGTGACCTATTTATATGCTAAATATCTTTTTTTGGTTGAATGCCAAATACTTTAATAAACCTTGAGAAAAAACTCACTAATTCAAAATTATTAATGCATTGAAATAAAAATAATATAGATATATAAAATCTTTTTTTAAACAATTAATATACATTATATGCCTAATTATTATTTTATGTATGCATTTACATTCAAGTTCCGTCACAAATTTTTCGGACTGATAGAGATATAGCAGGTTAAAAATGAATGTAAACATTTGTTATTTTAATCTTTGTTCTTAGATTATAATCAATGTTTTTCTTTCTTTTTTTTTTTGGATATATTTATTAGAATATTGGATTCTAAAATCAAATTAGTTTTTATTTGTTTAAAAAAATTTAAAGTGCTTACTATAGAAATAAATCACTAGTTAGTTTTTTTAAAAAATTTTTTTTAATTTTTTCATTAAATATCTTGATACTTTTTCTATATTTATTTAATAAATTTATTAATTTTTTTATTTTTTTTTTCTCTAATCAAACTGCTAGAAATATCTGTATTAATTTATTTTATAAAGAACAATAATATAATATTCAATATAATATATATATATATTTAACATAGAAAAACTTTATCACTTTATTAACAGTAAAATTATTTAAACTTTATATACACCTCTATGATAAATTACCAGGATGGATCATCGTGATTGGTTGATCGCAATAAAAAAAATTTTTAAAATTGTTTTCCTTCTTAATTTTTGTTGTGTATCCAAAAAAATTTTTTCGTGTTACTCTCTTTATTTTACAGTTTTCTGTCATACTAAAAATGCAGAGTTCTAAGTTAAGCTCCCAACAATATGAACAAATAATCAGAGCACATCTTTCAGGTACTAAAGGCAAAATTATTTCTTCTCAACTCGATATACCTTCCTCAATCATTTATGACACAATAAATCGCTATAAAAAAAACAATTCCTCTTACCCTAATACATGTCCTGGACATCCAAAATCCTTTTCTGACTATGATTAGTGGATAGTTCGTATCTAGACAAGAATTTATTTGTATTACATAAGAGGAATAGGAAAAAATAAGCATTGAAACAATATGACACATAATTTTAAGCTTGTCTTAATGTGTTAAAGCAATTATTAAGGCTAAGAATAAAAATACTAAATATTAATATATCATGTTTTGAATTGCATAAAAATAAATTATGATCATTATAGTTTATTTTATTTTTTTGCTGACTGTATATAAATTAAAAAAAAAAAAAACTAATTGTGAAGCTATAGATGTTTCAGATAAAATCACTAGACATGTCACACTGATAGTTCTATTTAATTGAAGTACTGTTGCACTTCCAGAAATGACCAAGCTACTGTTTAAAGTATATAATAGTATTGGTAATATATCTTTTTAATAGATAATTGGTCATAATGATAGTATTGTTATTATAGTAATATTATTTGTGATTGGTTTGTTTGTTAATAATGTGATTTTGTTTTGGTTGTTGTTACCATAAAAGATTTCATTTACATCAATCAAAGTATAGTATTTTGGTTATATGAATTTGTTTGGAAAATTGATAGTATTTGATTAGTTAAGTTTGAAATGTTGATTAATTAACAGGAGTAAACTGATTGTGATTTTTTGGTAAAAAATTTTTGAGTAGAATTTTTTGGTTTTTGGTAACATAACAAAATATGCTGAGCAATAATAAGAAGTAAACATTGAATATATTGTTGATGCTTCAAGTTAACAATATAAACAATTTTGATATGAAGTCTGATTTTTTGAGATAAAAAGAAATCCTCCAAGCAGAAAGTATAGTTGTTTAAAAAGATTTGTGTATTGAAAAAAAAAGAAAATGAAAAGAACTTTAAGAAAGATTTATAAAAAAGTAACTGCTATAGGCCTTTTCTCATGCAATTCAAAGAAAAAGAAAGATCTTTAAACTTGCTTTTCTCTGGCCAGAGGTTCCATCCCAATGCACCAGTATATTTCTTTAATTTTCTTAAGGCTCTTATAATAAAGAAAGAGAAAGCATAAAGGACTTTTGAATATTAAAAGGTGAAAAAAATATTTGGTTTTTTAATTTTAAAGAAAAATTATTATAAAAGAAAATTTTTAAGAAAAAAGTTATGTATGGAAAAGAGTTTTTTTTTTTTATATTCAATATAATATTATATTAAAGTTAAATTATTCTCATATAATAAAATATCTATTAACAGGTTATTTAAAAATTTATATAGTGGAAAACAGCATAAATCATTTATTTTTATTTTTAAGTAATCAAATTTTGATGATTATATAATGCAATTATCATATGAATTGTCAAAATATAATTGGCTAGTATTTTTATAATTAACAAGTCAATAAAAATAAGGAATGATTAGCAACATAATCTTTAATTTTTATGATAAGTCTTTTACTTGTATTTTACTTGTGTTATTCTTAATTCTATAAATTAAATTGGTACCCTCTAGATTCATATATATAAAATTTTTTATTTTTTTTCTTTAATTATTTATATAATTAATATGTTCTTTTATAAATTATTCTTTTTCACCAGATAAAACCAGAAATTTTTTTTTAATAAAATGAATAATTTTAATAATTTTATATGAATCAAATTGCTTTAATAATTATTAACATATATTCTTGTATTATAGTTTTCATTTTGATATCATTATGCAAAAAAGTTCTTGAAATATATAAAAAAGGAATAACTGACTTTTTATAGTGTGTATTTGATTTGAGTCATATTATAGATAACAAAATATATTTTTTTACCAAAATCTTAATTTCAATATATATAAGATATGAAATTAAAAGTGTTTATATATCTATATTTCATAATCCAGATGGCTGTATAAAGTTTAGATAAAGATTTGATTTTTACAAGTAAAGACAATATAATGTGTTTTGGCTAAAGACTATTTGAAAATATTTGCAAATTTTTGACTGGTATTTTAATTATTACAATAAAAATATCTACTTATTCTTATAGTAAATCCTTAATACAATTATATCAATCTAATAGTTATTACAAAACAAGCACAATATGGAAACCTCTCCCAAATCAGATTATTATATTAACAGCTGACATGAGTATACCTATATCTTTATATATAAAAACAATCTTATCCATCAAATCTAATTACAGGATAAATATTTGTACATCAAAGAATAAGAAATTGAAAATTTTATTGTTATTAAGTATAATATCTGTTTAATATAAAAATCTTCAATATACTTGTTTATAATATTAAAATAATAATATATAAATGAATAAGATATATGACAATCTTTAATATGCCTGCAAGTGAAGAAGCTTGTTATAAAAAATAATTATCATGGAGTGGTTATATGTTGCTAGCATGTATAGAGATATATTAGGCTATTAGCACCTATTATAAAGTTAAAATATATCAATAAATATAAAATTCAAATTCATAATCAAGCAAAAAACCTAATTTATCAGTTTATACTGAAGATTTAATAATATTGATATTGTATTGTTCTTGAATTATTCAACTAAAAAAAAAAAAGGCTTATGAACAGGCTGTTATATAATAAACTGATATAAAACTTTAGAGTTCAACAACAATTTTTTTATTTTTTTATTTTTTTTTATTTTTTTTAAACTAGCTTCACCTTGCTTAGCAAACTTTATTAAGGTTAATATTATATATATTTGTACACATTTCTGTATATAAACTATACTATATGCTAAACTATATCGAGATTTCCTAGATATTAGCTGTTGCTATCAACTTTTTCTATTGGATAGGGGTTGAAACTAACATACCAAGGCATTGCTATTGTTAATATCACTAGTATTTTTATTTTTTAAATAATAAAAAATTTTATTAATAAATAAATTTTAAAAATTTAATAATATATTTATATAATAT